AAGCTTATTAAGTCTTACCTTCCTCACTCATCATCTCTCCTTTGTGCTTCTTGGTTCGGTTGCGCATAAAGAATAATGTCTTTATTCCGGGATTACCACTTTTAATAAATACCCTTGCATATAAAGTAAATCGCACTGGATGTTTTTATTGGGGCAGTAAAAATTTTTACCAGATGTCGTATTGGACATACAAGATTAACACAACTTTTTACTCAAAGATGAAGACCCTACCCAATGTTTACACTGTAAATCCCCATGGACTGTAAAACACATTTTACTGGACTGCCCTGCTTTTAATGACTCCAGAAAGACTTTTTATGATGAGAACTCTCTTAAGAACATTTTTAACAAAGTGACACCAGGAAAAGTTTTTGAATTTTTAACATGTATTAAGCAGAAAAATCCTATTTAAACTGTATATTCAATTTTTTTTTTTTTTTTTACTGTTGATTTTTTGTTAATTACTGAAATGCTTTTGCCATGAAAAAAGCCTTAGTAGCTGACATGGCAATAAATAAATAATGAATGAATGAATGAATTGGGGCAGTAAATGGGGTCAAGAGGCTGTCTGAGCGCTGATATTACTGTAGTATCTCACGGCTATCAGTGTATATATAAACACATTTGAACAGTAGTGTACATTATTAATTTGTCCAGTTTAAGTTGTTGCTTGTTGATTTGATTTGATTTTTTTTTTTTTATTTTAGGGAGTACTGTCTAAAATGATGAATGGAAGCATCCAAGATAATGCAGCTGCTGTAAGAAACAAAGGTGGGTTTTTTTAAGAGCTAAGTTAAACTTAAAATGTTTGAAGACATAGGAAATTACTCACATTCCTTCCCACTGTTCTCTCTCCACCTTTTGTAGACTATGAGCTCATAGCTTTAAAAAATCGTAGAAGAAAGTTAGAATTTTTCATGCAAAAAGGTAACTGCATTTACTCGGGCTCTAGCAATTTATTTGTACATGTCTAATTGAAAACTGCTGCTAATTCATTTAACTGTGCTGATTTGTGTGAAACACTTGTAATGGAGTGTATTGGTGGAGTCTGTTCTTCTGAATTTTAATAACTCTGTTCACTTAAAAACAAATTGGTTTCTGCATTCTAATGCCCTGATGACCCAAAGCTTTTAGTACATGCAGTACACATGCACCCTATGTTATGTTATGTTAAAGGGGCTATATGAAGAAATTTTCAGTTAACAGTCAGGTTTTTTTTTTCTTTTATTATTTCCAAGCTTTGAACTTTTCCATCAGTATATCAAGGATTAGAATCAAATTCAGTCCTTTGTACATAGTGCGTACAATACCAGTTTAGCTAGTGTTGCTAATAACAAGTTACAATTTTGTGTATAGCCCCTTAAATATGATTTAATAGGCTTTTTTGTCTTTCTTAAATACTGTGTACCAAAAGCTTTTGTAAATCAACCTCTAGGTCGGAGCATGAACATCTGAAAATGTTTCAGTGGTTTCTGTCGCTTCCCGTTTTGTCATTCTTGAAGCTAAAGCTAATGCTCTGTCCTTCAGGTGGCACTGTAAGCTCCTGGGTCTATCTCTGTGGTAAATAAAGATGCTTTTTATGCTGCTATGTTCTGAAATAATTGTGTGGACTGTGGTGTATAAAATTTTATTTTTATTTCAGTTTCCACAACTGAAATAAAAATATAATAAAGCGATTGTGACTTTTTTTAATCCTGCAATTTTTTCAGAATTGCTTACAGTATGAACTCAAACCAAATATAGTCAAAATTATATGATAACACAAACCTGAATTGGCAGACATGAACCCACTATTATCACTCTACTCTCAGTTCTGATATTTGAGCTGTAATATCAATTTTGAGGGGAAAGAAAAGCTTTATAACAACTCTAATATTTAAAACAATAGTTATTGTAAGAAAGTTGTCAATTTTTTTTGTTCCTCAGAATTAGACATTAATTAATTCTGAGACAAGATTTAGAAATTGGATTAATGCAAGTCAAATGCAAGAAATAATACAGTAAAAAAGTTACTAATACCCTTTTAATTTTATTTACTTTTGTTTTCTATGCTGTGATGGGTTCTGTGAGGGCTGGATTAAAACTAGGATACATTTTTGTAGAAGTAACTTTGAACCATTAGTTTCTCAATCAGAAGAGATTCATCTACATTAATCTCAGAGGAACCTAATTGCATTAGGTTTACTCTGAGATTCTTTCATGTTTACTTCTGTCTTTTATTTTGTTTAAAACCTTCATACAGGCATGTATGTGTGAATTTTGCTGTGTGCTCAATTGACCGTGGTGGCTTTGGTTACAGTTTTGTCAAATGAGCAGGTGGTGTGTGTCTGAATCAACTGATCAGCATGAATCAACAAAATATATGCTTGGGAAACTTATAGCTCTAAACTTTATGCACTCCTTTGTTTTGAATAAATGATTTTTGTCTTCATCTGTTTTATTAGGTGGCTCGGAGTCTGACATCTCTGATGTGAGTTACCACTGTCATTGACTTTTAGTTTTTTATGAATGTTAAATTCTGACAGTTTTTTTTATTTATTAAACTTTATACATATTTTCTTTCAGCCATTATTCATTATTTTTGTCTGTGGAATTAGCTTCAGGTTCCCTCCATCAGCACCACTTCCTCCAGCTGGTCATGGGATCATGAGGAGGAGAGGCGGCGACAGGAGAAATGGCAGATGGAACAAGAGCGCCTCCTTCAGGTTCCTTCAATCACACAGTCTTTTTTTCTCATGAGTTATGAGAAGTTTGAATCTTCTGAAAGAACTGATTCTTTTGAATCTTTCATTTTAGATAAGTTTTTATTTTTTTATTTATTTTTTATTGGTATTTAATTATGTTTTGCATGATAAAAACAAATGACTGTTTTTTTTTTTTTTTTTTTTTTTTTTTTTTTTAATGCCAAAAAGCAATATTACTATTGTTCATACTATATTTTAAGGTGCAAATCACACTGTTAATAAGACATTAACTTTGACATTTGCCTTAATAAAGCAAAACATTTTTTTTGCTTATTAATTGTTAAGGTAGTAGTTGGATTTGGGTATTGGGTAGGATTAGGAATGAATTATAAGATCATACAGAATATGTACTTTCATAAATACTAATTAACAGCCAATATCTTAATAATGGGCGGGTAATAAGCTACCAGTAAATAGTATGTAATACTGTTTGTACAAAAGTGGTTACATTTCTTATTCTGGAATGCACTAAATTGTGCAATATACCATAGAGTGTATACTGCGTGCTTATTACATCAAAGTAACGGAATAAAAATGAATCAGTCATAAAATGTAGTAAAGGTTCTTTTTGTTTCCATGCAATCCATTATATATATATATATATATATATATATATATATATATATATATATATATATATATATATATATATATATATATATATATATATTTTTTTTTTTTTTTATAAATGTTTTATTTATTTGTAAGTTTAGTAATCTTGTTTAATTGCAGCCATAATAGTCCTAACTGTAAATCACATATAACTCTGTAGTGAATGTATATAACATTTTTGACCTAGATCAGCTAGATCATTGGTTAGATTCAAAGGCTCTGTGTATTTAAATTGATTATTCACAGAAATCCTCTAAGATTCCTCATCATTTACAGTACTCGCACTTCAGTGTTTTTAATCATTAAAAACAAATTAGTGTGTTCATCAAAAGAATGAAAGTGAATCAGATTTGGAACAAGTTAAGGGTGAGTAAATTATCAGTGACTTGGTGAACTGATTCCTAATAAACCTACTGTATGTACACATTTAAGAACTGGTTACCAAACTGAGTAGCCCATCCTCTTTTGTGCTTATTTGCTACATGGTTCAGTTAAAAAGAACAAATTCAATGAAATGATTCCTTCATGACTTTACCATAAACGGATCCTAACTCCACAATTTTTATTTTGATGGTGACATTTATATTCCAGTTGCTTATGGGAGTAATTCAGTAAACAAGCAAATATATGCAGTGTGATGAGATATGTGTGTATATATGCACACTTTAGACCTTTTACTGTAGCAACAACTTAATTCCATAAGCTCCACTATTTTTATTTTCATTACATTTCAGGTATCGTGGCATGTAGTAATAAATTACGTAAAGGCCAATATTTTGGCCTTTAAATGTCTGCAAAGATGAAAGAGAATAAACTAAAAATGTTTACCAGTGACCTTTGGTTGCATTTCTTCCAGGAAAAGTATCGACGTGATCAGGAAAAGCTAGAGGAGGAGTGGAGGAGAGCTCAGCAGGAAGTCTATGGAGAAGAGTACTGTGGTCTTGAGGTCAGTAGACTTTAATCTCTACTTACTGACCACGTTGTGTATTAATAATGTGATTATTTGAATGGAATCAAACAGCAATTCATAGCTATTTACTTTAGTGGCTAATTTGTTTTAATTTTTCATTCCTACATTTGTACAAATTGCTCATCTTTCAATTTAATGTAGGGTTAAAATATATTTAAAATAACCCCTTAATGTATATTACCTAACCTTTAATTAATCTTAAAAATAATGTTTATTCATATGTATGATATTGTATGAATCTTCCACTTTTCAGACAATATGTAAAATGGTTGTTTCCTCTTGAGAATGCCGTGGATCCTTTATGTCAATCTAATTTATGCTAATCAAAATGATCTGAAGTAAAATGTTATGTTAACTAACCTTTTCATCTAATTTACACAAATTTTAAGTTTTACATATACCTTTTTCTGATGATTCATGATTTCTATGGATGTTTATTTGGTTCCATGTTGAACATAGAAATATAATTCGCTGTGACGCTATATAAGTTAAAGGGCACCTATTTTACCCGATTTCTTTAAGATGTAAGAAAAGCCTTTGGTGTCTCTAGAATGTGTCTGTAAAATTTCTGGTCAAAATACTTGATAAATAATCAGGTAATATGTTATAGCCTCCAGAATCTGCTGATTTTGGTGTCTGAATACTTTGTAGCTGTTTTTGTAGTCTGGTTCTGTTAGCTCACAAGTTTATTTTATGTATTTGTGGCAGAGTTTATTCAAGCCTTTCTGACATGATGAGTCTCACACAAATGACGTTTGCAGTACACACACGTGAGCGTTCAACTCGCACCATGTGGCCGTGGTGATTATAGCGGTTAAGAATTAGGCTACATAGCGATTTTACTCTCTTTATTACAAACATGTAATAAACATTTAAACACAATTTAAACTTATACAACATGTAAAAAAAATCACAGAGTTGGAACAAATATCTTAATCCCAGTTTATTTGAAAACCACAGTTTTACTTCACATTGCAGTGGGCCTCAAAATCACTGGGATTTGGGTCCTATTTCAACGTCAGGAAATTTTAAAAAAGAGACTTGCTGGGTTTATATCACTCCAATATGATTGTGGACACACTATACCTACACACAGTTCTGTCCAAACAGCTTACAAACGTAGATTTTTATCATAGGTGCCCTTTAATGATGCACACTTTAGTCAAATAAATGCAAATAACATGCCTGCTCTTTAAATAGTCAAAAGTCAGTGGTTTCTATGGTTCTGAGCTTATGCATATTATGATTTCATGAGCTATGGTTTATCTGTAAAATTGCCTGAAATTGTAACCACATTGTAAGGGCAGCATGCTAATCTTTCTCATTTTTTCAACAGTGCTTTCATTTATCGTTATATTCTGCAACTGCTAACTACAGTATGAATGGTGAATGGTTAACATTGTTGTTCATCTCCTGTTGCTATTAGGAGCAGAAAACCCTTGACGTGCTGTCCAATGGAAACCCTGCCCCTCATAATTCACCTCCCTTCTACAACCAGTCGAGTGCCACCTTTTCAGTGACGTTTAATGAGAATGTGGCAGCAGCACAGAACAGACAGGCCTGTGTGCAAACAGCAGCAGGACACCAGTCAATAAAAGCAGAAGACAAGTGTGATTCACCCACAAAGACTCTGTGGTAAGAAATCAGCCAAGCACAGTTGCAAAATATATTTGATGCATTGCTGAAAATATTGTAAATGCCTTTTTGGTTAAAAACTGTATCTTTTAACTGTTTTCAAATACAATACCTCAAATGACTATAATAATTTTAGTAGAGGCATTCAAAGGATTAACATTTGAGAACCGTGGCACCGTCTGCACATGTAATCTTAATAACATTAATAGTTGTGCCACTTAGAGATGCATGTTTGAAACATTTGGATCCACATTAATTATATGTATGATAAAAATAATACCACCTGTAAATATTGTAACTGCCTTATATTGTGCTTTTGTAGACCATGAAAACCATATACTGTATGACTTCACATACAGTAGTTAACAGTAGCTTATGACATTTGAATTTGACATTTAAGAAAGAATCAACAAAGAACTTTAGTGCAGGTACAAATGCAAATGCTATGTCTTTACACAAATGCAGTATACTCATGACTCATTGCAGAATTGCAAGCATTTTCCATTACTTTTTCTGGAGCTGGAAAGATATTCAACAAATGTATCATTTACAGTAAACTGAGGCCATCAATAATGTAATAATCAGTGATGTGTATAATACACAACAGGTTGTGAGTGCTAATCAGTTCAGCAAATCAAACTGGCATCAGTGCAACCTCCAATGAAATTTAGTCACATTAGTGTTTAATGGTTGCATTTTGCAACCCCTTTGAGTCAGTCTGGAGTCCTGATTCAGTAAATAAATTAAATTAAGACATCACATAATTGTAGCAAGCAGAATATTCGGTATTCGACAGAACTCATTGTCTGTTTCATTTCCAGCTATAATGTTTTTTGGTGAGTTTGTCAGTTTCAAATGAAGATTTAAGGGCTGTCCACTCATGTAAACCTATTGACGAATGACATTTGTTTTTAGAGCCACATTTGAAGAGTGCTGTTTCTAATTGGGCCAAATGTATAGTTGTTCTGTTGTTTCCTGTTTTTTATTAAGATTTTAACTATTAATCACAAACATATAGAAACAAACCAACAGACAATGCCCATTTTAACAATGCTAAAGAAATACAAATAAATTTTATATAAAATGTAAAGTTTATGATTATGTGTAGTTTAGACTATTGATATTAATGTTGTTTTTTTCTATAAATATTATGTTCAATTAACTATCCCTGAATCCCTAAATTGCTATAATACACTCACTGGCCACTTTATTAGGTACACTTTACTAGTACCGGCTTGGGACCCCCTTTTGCCCTCAGAACTGCCTTAATCCTTTGTAGCATAGATTCAACAAGGTACTGGAAAGATTCCTCAGAGATTTTGGTCCATGTTGACCTGATAGCATCACACAGATTTGTCAGCTGCACATCCATGATGCGAATCTTCGAATCTGCCACATCCCAAAGGTGCTCTATTGGATTGAGAGCTGGTGATTTGAGTACAGTGATTTTGAGTAGTGATTTGAGTACAGTGAACTCATTGTCATGTTCAAGAAACCAGTCCGAGATGATTCACGCTTTGACATGGCATGTTATCCTGCTGATCGTAGACATCAGTAGACTGTTGTCATAAAGGGATGGACATGGTCAGCAACAATAATCAGGTCGGCTGTGGTGTTTACACGATGCTCAATTGGTACTAATGGGCACGAAGTGTTCCAAGAAATTATCCCCCACATGATTACGCCAAAACTGTTGATACAAGGCAGGATGGATCCATGCTTTCCTGTTGTTGTTGACAAATTCTGGCCCTACCATCTAAATGTCACAGCAGAAATAGAGACTCGTCAGACCAGGCAACGTTTTTCCAATCTTCCATTGTCCAATTTTGGTGAGCCTGTGCAAATTGTAGCCTCAGTTTCCATTGTGGTCTTCTGCTGCTGTTGCCCATCCTCCTCAAGGTCGGACATGTTGTGCGTTCAGAGATGCTCTTCAGCATACCTCGATTGTAACGAAATGTTATTTGAGTTACTGTTGCCTTTCTATCAGCTTGACCAGTCTGGCCATTCTCCTCTGACCTCTTTCTTCAACAAAGCATTTGGCCCACAGAACCACCAATCACTGGATATTTTCTCTTTTTCAGCCCATTCTCTGTAAACCATAGAGATGGTTGTGCATGAATATCCCAGTAGATCGGCAGTTTCTGCAATACTCAGACCAGCCCATCTGGCACTAACAATCATGCCACGTTCAAAGTCACTTATATTACCTTTCTTCCACATTCTGATGCTCTGTTTGAACTGCAGCAGATCATCTTGACCATGTCTACATGCTTAAATGTATTGAGTTGCTGCCATGTGGTTGGCTAATTAAAAATTTGTGTCAAAGAGCATTTGGATAGGTGAACCTAATAAAGAGGCTGGTCAGTGCATATAATAATTTTAAAATCACCTCTAAAAACCGTAATGATATTTTGTTTTGAGCATGTGCATGTCTTACTGCTGCTTCACTGCATATGTGTCTGTGTTTTGCTTCTGCTCTGTCCTGTCCTGCTTCAGCTCAGAGGAGTCCTATGGGTTTGCCAAGCTTACCGTTTCCGACAGGTCAGTTTGCTTTTGTGGCTGGACTGTATTTGCTGATCTTAATAGCTTTTGTGGCTTTGTGTACTGAAAGGTTTCCCAGCATCTCAAAGGGGAAGTCTGCATTTTCACGTCCAATATGCTCCATTTTAGTGTCATTTAAAGACAAATTTATAATTACTTATGTTCTCATCAGAAATGTAAGGAAAGGATTAGGATTCATGGTTCTGATTTCATTTACATTCAGCATCATTTCTGTTTATTTTTAATCACATTCTTTATCCTCTCAATTATCAAATTAAAATGAATAATTTATTGTTGGTGATGCTTAAATTACACAGATTACCTTTTTTGGCAGGTCTGATTGGCAGAGTGTTGCTTTATTATTGCTGCATTACTAAATTTTTGTGTTTATTTTTAATAGGACAAAGTCAAAATCTACTCCTGCACTTGAAGCCCTTCACAAACAAGACGCTAAAGGTTTGAATACCTTGCATTTGGCTATTTTTATGTGAATGCTTGTGAGCTGACTGTCAGGTAGAATGCTTGTTTTCTCTTTATTTTCCCTTCGCTGGCAGAAGGCTGCAGTAAGAAGAAGGGACAGCTGTCGCAGGCAGAGAAGGAGCGTCTGCAGATCCTGGATGAGATGAGGAAGAAGACGCCACTCCACACCGACAGCAGCTGGATTCGACAGCGCAACGCCAGCATCAACAAAGAGACCATCACTGTGGGCACATCAATCAGGAGGTCCTGATAAATGAACTGAATATAAACAATTTTCTTATATTATCTAGGATAGATTGTATATTTACCATTTGATACTTGAGATAATGGCTGCTGACATTTCAGCTTGTCATTACTGAAATAAATTAGTTTCATTTAGTGTCATTGTTGTAAATGTGATTCGATATGTGGTCATCATAAAATATATTAAAATTATATTCATTTAAATTGTAATATTTTACTGTTTGCTCAAATAAGTGAAGCCTCAGTGAGTGTAACTTTCTAAACCACAAGAATTTAATCATTCTTAATTGATATTTTTCAATAAGTATAATAATCTGCTCACCAAAGCTCAGTTTTAAAAATATACAGTAGAAACGGTAATAATTTAAAATGGTAAAATAAAAAATCTATTTCCGGTTTAGTATGAAAAATTATTGTGATGAATATTTTATTTTCTGTGTCACACGATTCTTTAGAAATGTTATTAAAACATGGTAATTTAGTGTTCATGTAACTTTTTAAAATATTTTTGTATTTGGACATTAAAAATGATTGATGCATTTTTAGGATTCTTAGATGTACATTAAAATAATATAATAATAATACATTTTATTTGGATATCAGTTTTCCTACATGCATCCAACTCAAAGCACTTCACAACAAAAAAAAAAAAAACAAGCATTATAAACTAAAACAAATGTATGGACAAATAAAGCAAAATAAACTACAAATACTCAGATTAAAGCATACATGTAAATGCATATATGCAAACATCTACACAATCACACACAAAATAGTTCTTACATGTGCATATATGCACACACTGTACATAAATACATACATACATACATACACCTACACAATATATATATATATATATATATATATATATATATATATATATATATATATATACACACACACACACACACACATAAAATTCTAACATTTTACATATTGTTATGTTCATATGCAATTCTTAAAAGTTTTAACTTGTTTTTTAAAAAACATAAAAGCTGTGGGATTCTTTCACTTTACTTGGGAGACAATTCCAAATTTTTGAAGCAAAGTGACTAAAAGAGATGCTGCCAGATTGCAGATTTACAGAGGGAAATTCTTAACGTCCAGTGCTAGAAGAGAGTAGCAAATGGTTTGGATTGTATCTCGATAAGCAGTCAGAAATGTAAGGTGTCAGGTTGTGTAGTGCCGTATAAACTAATAAAAGACTCTTAAAATCTAAAGAAAGCTACAGTATTAGGAGTATTCTTTTAATAAAAATTATCAACCTCTACTAAATAGCAGATATGTTTTATGGTAAAAGTACCGTAATTAATACATATACTATGAAAATTGGAAAGTGTAAAGTGTAAGACCAATTTATTTAAAAACATAATCTAAATTAAACATATTTGACTACTATATTACCTTTATTTTGTTGAACTATGCCATAAAATATTTCAGATACTCGTTTAACACATTTTCTTGATTTTGGTTTTATTGTAAAAATAAATAAATGAATAGATAAATAAAAATCAAATATAGCAGTGCAACAGGAATTATGTTTGATGCTTCTTTTTTTTTTTGTAAACCAACATTGCTGTTTAGTGTAAACCATTATTTAAAGCAGTCATTCTTTAAATACCTTTAACAGCCCTTATTTAAAACAGTCAAAATATAGTCAACCATTTGGTATAGCAGGCAGTTAAAGGGCTAGTATACATTTTTTATAATATACAATTTTTAGGCTAAAAGAACACTCCTACTGTGAAGTTCCAGTAATATTTATTATCTCAAACTGTGTCTCTTTGTTACAGATATGAATCTATGGACAATCTCCACACAACTAACTCGTGGTCCAGGCAGTCGTACACTTCCGGTTTGTCCAGCAGACCTCATTCTGCATTAGGAAGCAGTGGCTCTTACAGAAGTGGACGCAGCAGCCTGGGCCCCGGATCAGCCATCTTCTCTACTGGAGTAAAACTGAACTCAAACACAACTACTCCTGAACCGCCGGGCCTCGAGTCCCGTCCAAACTCTCAGCAGCAGGGCAGGTATGGACTATTCATGTGTGGAAGTCATGTTTTTACATTTAAATAATACTTTTAATTTTCCCTTTCCTTTTATTCAGTAAATGTATTTTCAGTTTAAACACTTTGAAGTGAATGTTAAGTGCAGCTCTTTTTTTATTTGTTTTTCCTAAAGAAGGATCTCACTCTACCATACATTTAACCCCAGGTATTTTTGCAGTCAGTGGCTGTGTTTTATACGCAGAACACTGGTACTCCATTTTGAGTATATACTGTAGTGTATACTGAGTACAATTTAAAAGTATATATGCATGAGACGGTATGCTGCTTTTCATATTGTTTACAAAAATCGTACTCTACAAAACCTATATTAATAAAATGTGTAATTAGTGATGCACTGAAATGAACAAACATTTAGGATGCAGTTAATAGGCAAATAGGGTATAAAGCATAACATTCATTTAATACTCAAATTTGTAAAACATAACTGCGATGTGTTTAAATGGCACAAAGCAGTAAGTCAAGAATTAAACAATTTTCGACCGTTTAGTTTCTTGATTAACTAGTTATGACCAATTTATTTGAACATTAAAGTAATGTAAAGACTAAACTACATTGCAGCTTAATATGTTGTATATATGTGTATATATATATATATATATATATATATATATATATATATATATATATATATATATATATATATATATATATATATAACTTTTCTAGGTAACTATTTGAGCTTTCAAATGACTTTCTTTTGATAAATGTTAAATTAAAAGCTGTTTCTACGTTTCACTATTGAAACGTTTAGTGACTGATTATTGGAACATGCCTTCTGTTCATTCAGATATAATTTGTGCCATAACCAGTAGTAAATATAATGGTTTTATACTTTAACTCTGATCAATAGTTTATTTAAGCATGCCTTTTGTTCATTCGGATATAATTTATGCTCTAGCCAAGAGTAAATATAATGGTTTTATACCTTAACTGTGACCAATAGTTTATTTGAACATGTCTTCTGTTCATTCAGATATAATTTGTCCTATAACCAGTTGTAAATATAATGGTTTCACACCTTTACTGCTTTACTGTGACCAATAGTTTATTTAAACATGCCTTCTGTTCATTCAGATATAATTTGTGCTATAACCAGTAGTAAACATAATGGTTTATACTTCAAATGTGATTAGTACAGAGAGTAAAAACAGCATTTGTAATTTGTTTTTCTAGAAAGAAAAATGTGTAGCTTTGAGTTTAAACAGCGAATTATAAATAATGTTCTGCAATGTTTGTTTATCAACAGAAAACAAGACTAAAAATGTGTTTTGAGATTAAACTAATCCAAATAAGCACTATAGACTAAAAAAAGAAGACCTTATATTAATAGTCCTGCATAAGTGTGTCAACAGCTGACATGTTTACCTGCTGTTTATCCAAATTGTCTGCATAAAAGAAACTGATACCTCACATAAGAAATGGTAATAAAATCTGCCCATTTCAGCTGATGAAATTTCAGTGCATCACTAGTGAAAATTGTTATTGTGTGTGTTTACATATACTGTATAGGCCAATATGGCTATTCCATTGATAATATAAAAGTTACTCTGTTCAGTATACATGCAGTATAGTAAGGTATTAAACTATTTGTCCGCCGCCAACCCTCTCTGGTAAATGAAGTGGACTGAGGCAGAGGTCTTTTGTGTGACATTGAGCATGTGGTGCCTGTAGGCTGGTCAGTGGCAGGCGGATGTGCTCGAGGTGCGAGCAGCCGCTGGGGAAGGGAGCTGCCATGGTCATCGATTCCCTGGAGCTCTGCTTTCACATTGGCTGCTTCAAGGTGAGGCCGGAGGTCACCTGAAACTGAGAGAACTGGCCATCCATGGACATGCCTGGGGTTTTAATCTTCATCATCTGGGGAAATGGGAGAGAATTAGCCACTACTCTTTTGGTGAAGGCAATCAGATTGCAAGCATGCAGGACAAATTAGAAATGCTGTCTTAAATTGATCTAAAACTGTCTTAAAATGCTGTCTTAAATCTAAAACTGATAAAATATAACAATTTCAGTAATGCTTTGTTTTAGGGTGTGTATAAGTTTGGCAGGTTTGGTTTTATTCAAACTGAAAAAAAAATCACGGCTTGAATTCAAGCATATAGCATTTAGAAGTTTGTAACTATGTTTGCAAAATAAATGCCTTTTTTGGTATATTTGGATTTGGTTTTTGAAGCGACAGTGAATTCTAAAGTATGCTAAAAAACACACCCTTAATTTAAACATCCACATGATCACACCGGTGTGATTTAGAACATTAAGTGCATGACATAATTGGTTGTTAAATTAAAATCTGCTTTCCCATGTTGGCTTATGCTAAACCAGAGCAAGACATGCATGCCTAGTAAAATCATTGTGTTAAAACGAATAACATGTATTTAGGTTTCAGACATTTAAATATAAGTGCTACACATAGGTATTATCAAAAAGAGTGTTGATGGTTTGTAAAATTCACGCTGATGTCTATGTAGAAACAGTAATTACTCTTATACATAATCAAATCATGTGCTTCTCTTTCATACGGTGGCCGAGAAAGCTTAACGTGCTGCAATTTTAAGAAAGCACATGCAATTAAATGGAACACCAGCAAATTCAGAAACTATCTTCATCAACTTCTCACAACACAAACAACTGCAGAAACACACACCAATTGGTTACAACACAAACAGTAATTAAACGAGCTGCATTTCGCACACAACAGAAACATTAATAAAATGCACTGCATTTCTCACAACAGAAGTGTTTCAAGGACACCCTAAAACATGACAGATCCTGGTTTACTGGGTTATGGTTATTTAGGCTAACAAATACTAAAGACATGGGGATTGGGTAAACAAACAAACAAAAAGAAAATTCACCTGTAACTGCATAATTGCATGTGTTTCCTTTATTTTTTTTTTAATCAAGATTAAAATAATATTTTTAAATTACAGCACATTAAGCTCTCTCGGCCACCATACTTTCAACAGATACACACCGTTTAGGTTACTAGAATATTTACTTTAATTTTCTCACAGTGAAACAGCCACATGCATTTCTGGAGAAGTTGATGAATTAACATGTTGTAAATCCAGCAGCTCAAATCTCTCCACTGTTGTGCAGACCAACATGGCAGCACATACTGTCTCATATCAAATAACAGTATATTTTTAAGTTGTTTAAATGATACAATATATGTTCATGCACAAATTTGAGATTTCTGAATATCTGAGATTATTTAATAATTTAAAAAATGACATGTAAAAAGGTTAAAAAGATAATAATGTTTTGTCAAACTACAAATGAAAACTTAAGTCCAGCCTGTTTTCTGATTGTCTTTTCGGTACCTCAGCACAGCCTAGTTAGGCTAACCCAACCTGTGCATCACCAGAACCCTGCCAGTCACTGAGCACACATGCCTTCCCTATCATCAAACTATACCACAGTTTCTGGGAAATAAGTGTGTTCATGTCATATTTTTAATGTTTCATGTATAACTTATATTATGAAATATATCTATGGAAAAAATAGACAACTTGACCACTTGGTTTTTTTTGGATTAACTGCATTTATTAGATTTTTTTTTTCTTTCAACAATGCACTAAGTGCAGGTTTATAATCAGATTCAACTTATTTTCCAGAAAATGGAGTATTTGCTTTAATCTTTCATCCCTGGCTTTCATTCTAATGATGATTATTTCTTTTAGATTGCTAAATTTGGTTGCAGGGGTTTGTGGTTTGTTTACAGTACCTGCTTGTTTGTTCACTGCAGCACAAGACCATTTTATCACCGCTTCACCAGCCTTCACTAAAAATAATCACCTTTTCATATGTACAGTAGCTGTGGTGGAGGAGCTGCACGCACTGACTCAATAATCAGCATTTCTAATGAATAATTAATTTGACAAGAATGTGGGCTGCTTTGGGGGCTTCTTAACCTTTTGTTCGTGGAGTCATGGGAAGAAAAGGGTTGATTTGTGTCCAGTCTGAAGGTCTTCTGTTGATGTTGCAGTGTGTCAGCTGCAGGACTGAGCTTGGTCGAGGGCCTGAATCCGGAGCTCAGGTCAGAGTCCGACACAGACAGCTCTTCTGTAACACCTGCTACTGCAGAATCAGAGGTACGCAAAAGACAACCTCCTTATATATGCACAGTCAGTGAACTGGTTTCTCTGACTGGCCTTACTCTTACAGTAAATATGTTGAAAAAACTAATCTGTAGACTAGGCATGGGCCGGTATAAGATTCTGGCTGTTAGATAATCTTGGATAATAATATCATCACGCTTTCACGGTATTGTGATCACTGCTCTAAATTATATTATTTTTAAATGTCTGGGTAAAAGACAAAAACTTTTTTCTTCTCTTTGAACACAATATATTTTATGTTAAGAAGCATTTAAAATATTTTGGAACAGTAGCTAAACATGTCAGGGTAAATAATACAAATGAATCATTGACTTCTCCTGTCTTCATTAGTTTCAAAAACATTAGTTTGCTTACTATTTAAAGTGGCATCTTTGGATATTGTTTCTGCTGGAGATGCTGTTGTCTTAAAAACATTTTTTTTTTAAAATCTTACATATACCTTAGGAATGTTATAGCAGAAAACTTTGACTATTTTAAAACCTCTATTTCCAAACCGCGTATATACCTTGATAACTGTTATCGTCCCATGCCTACTGTAGACTAGCCTTTATTCCTGTATAAAGTCACACTGCTGATGGTGCTGATTAAAACATTTTTAAATAATTCATGATCACTTGCCTTTAATTACATATATTTCACATTCTTTGTAAAAATAAACATTGTTTAGTAATTATTTTTTTCGAAGAATGTGTAATATAAAATATATAATGCAATGATTCAATGAGTGCGAATCACGACCCTTTGAGTTATTAACAAACCAAAATCAAATAATGCAGGTGCACAGTGCATACTGCACTGTTGAATTTTGTTCACAAATGCTGCATTCATTAAAACATTAAAAAATAAAACTAACTGTTCTTGAAGATATCTATTAGAGGTGTTATGGTACAGAAAAAAAAATGTTTCAGTACATACCTTGAGTTTAAAGTACTTTTAAAAAAAGGTTTTTAATAAGCAATTCAAACAGCAACTGGAAACAAAGTGCTTTATACAAAAATGACAACATTACATTAATTATAAGAATATTGAAAAGCTATTAAAATAAATACTGAGAAATATTTATTTTACACTTAACATCAATAGAATGCAATATACTATTATTTAGACCAACAGTCTAAAGCAGTGGTCACCAAACTTGTTCCTGGAGGGCCGGTGTCCTGCTGATTTTAGCTCCAACCCTAATCAAACACACCTGAACAAGCTAATCAAGGTTTTGCAAGGTATACATGAAACACCCAGGCAGGTATGTTGAGACAAGTTGGAGCTAAACTCTGCAGGGACACTGGCCCTCCAGAACCAAGATTGGTGACCCCTGGTCTAAAGTAAAGTCAATACCTTCGAAACATCACAAAAATAAATTGAATTTAAATTTTAAATATAATTTCATGACACTCGTTCATTCAGTAACTTCTGAGTATTTCAAAACACTCCCAGTTAGGTCTTAATGTCTAAATCTGAAGGAGTTTTTGAAATCTAAAATAATCATGCAATAAAAATCTTGGATAGACTAGTGCAGGCCTATAAGGGCACAAAAAATACACACATATTCCTGCAAACCATATCATTGTGATTTACTGTAAAAAAAATAAAATAAAAAAAATATCTGTAGAAAATATAGTGACTTTTTAGTCTTTCTTTGTACTTTATTGTTGTTTCAATGGTTCTTATGGTACAATAATATAATCATAGAAAAACAATAATATAAATAACAACAAACAATATTGATCTGTATTTACATTAACAATATTTAACTGTTAATTTGATGTTTTAAAATTGACATTTTATTTTCTTAGGGTTAGTACTTTTGTGAATACTGCGGGCATTTTTAAGGTGTATGAAACAATTTGCAGCTCTGTTTTACAAGAAATTATGTTATAATCAATAGTCAAACAATTCAAGTACTTTTTATTTATAAAATATAATTGACACTTTACATGTATTAAAAAAATAATTACACAAGGTAGTTTTAGTTTTCTAACTTTAATAATGAAAATATAAAACAGTACATTTATTTATTTGACTTATTTACCCAATGGCTTTTATAAGTTGTTTTCATGACATATTTATGTAAACTTAAAAATGTAAAATAATTAAATTATTTGGTACAGGTTAAGTCAAATATAATTAATATATAGTCTAATATTGCACAATTATTTAGAGTAATGTTCTGATCATTTTAGGAGAAAAATGCATACTTCATGAGTACTAGTTCATGAGTAAATCTGTTACACATTGATTTTCTTGACAATTGAACAGAAGACTCTTGTTATTTAAAGTAACTATATATATATATATATATATATATATATATATATATATATATAGATAGATAGATAGATAGATAGATAGATAGATAGATAGATAGATAGATAGATAGATAGATATATATAGATAGATAGATAGATAGATAGATAGATAGATAGATAGATAGATAGATAGATAGATACACAGTTGAAGTCAGAATTATTAGCCCCCCTTTGAATTATTATTATTAATATTATTATTTTTATTTTAAATATTTCCCAAATGATGTTTAACAAAGCAAGGAAATTATCTTCTGCATAATTATTTGTTTTATTTTGGCTAGAATAAAAGCAGTTTTCAAATTTTTTTTTTTTTTAAACATTTTAGGGTAAAAATTGTTAGCCCTTTTAAGCTATATTTTAAACTCTTTAACTTCAGGGGACTTGTAAAATAAGCCTAAATAAATAATAAAAAATACAGTGAAGCTTAGTTTAAAGCTTCAGTTTTTAAGGCCAACATGCTAACTGCAAAACTCTGCACATTTCCCTCCCAGTCTGTTCCTCAATCTCCAAGTGACCAGAATGCATTGCAACAGATCGAAGAGGAGGAGCGCACCACAGAAACAGCCACAGGAATCGCAACTATTAACACAACCTAACCACTGAGACTGGCTTTCTATCCACAGCTTCCACAATCAATACACTGAGACTGCTATTTCTGTGATTGTTCCCATAGTATGACCTCTACGTAGTGAAGAGTTCCGACATGTTTGATCATTGCTGAAACCCCTGAGGTTGTTTCTGTACTGACTGACATCCACATAGTAAGATGCAATACTGAGCGTTTATGCATTCCATGTGGCAAGTAATAACATGTCTACTGTCTCTCTAAGAACTGTTTTATATGCTGTTTTTCATGCTGAAAACTAATTTGTCTAACATATACAGTATGACTTAAACTTCTTCTTCCTTTAATATAGGCTTTCCTCAGAATTATTTAATAAATGTTGTAGCACACTTTGTTTGGTAATCAAGCACTTTTGTTCTCTTTTATTAGAAAAAATCACATAGTGGTGATGGGATGTTCAGTTTAAGCCATTTGTTCCATGTCAGTTGATAAAGAGGAAACTTATGCTAAGGTTTTAAAATGACTGCATATTGTTATTATTATTATAAGGGAATTATTATATTATTATTATTATTATAAGGGAATAATGTAACATTTATTTTGCCCCTTATGAAGATTTTGAAATATGTTGTCCAGTAGGTGGCGCTCTGGTTTTTATCTGAAGAACATCAGTTTCTTTCCTTTTTTTTCTTCCCCTGGTTAATAGATGTGTGATTCTGCATATTGAGGTCATATTGTAAAATCAAATGACCCGGGATGGTTCTTTCCAAACCTTTATGCTAGATGATTCTGTTTAAAGTTTTGAAGGATTTTAATCTCTTTGGTTAAAACTGGCTTGGCTTAAGTTAAGTGTTGCCATGGAAATAAAGCTTAATTTTAAATAGAAACTGAGTTTGTACTGCAACTGTTTTCAATGAGAGAAAAAAAAAAGAAAATCTTTTTACTACAACTAGTGTATCATTAGCTCCTCATATCCTGAAACAGATACATGCTTCAGCCCTAATTTGGATAATTTAAGAGTGGCTGTAGAGCATCATCAGACTCTTCAGCTCCCTGTCATTGAGTTTCTCCCACAGTCTTCTCTATTTCTTCTAATGTAACCTCTCAATGGCTTTAAAGTGCAGACTTGTCTCAGTACTTAATTGCCTTGTGGAGTGTTGGCATAATACAACTCCCAGTGTCATTTTATTCTGAATTGTACTACCTTTTTCTTTCTTGGAAAACTTGACCAAGTGCTCTAATCGGTTTTGGCTTGAAATCATTTAATGGATAATGCTTATATAAAAATGCACATTATCTGCAGCTTTTCCTTGATTAGTGTTTTAAACACTGACCTGTTTGTTTTCAATGCTATTAAGACATAGCCTACCGTTTTAAAAATAAAATAAAGATGAAAAATGTGCACATTACATATGGATCATTTTTAAATATCTTATTAGAATGCATGTTTATCATTGAATGAATTTTCTAAGAACATGACCAAACTGGTTTGAGGTGATAGAAAGGCAACAATAACTCAAACAACCTTTCATTACAAATGAGGCATGCAGAAGAGCATCTCCGAACGCACAACACGTCCAACCTTGAGATGGATGGGCTACAGCAGCAGAAGACCACAGCGGGTGCCACTCCTGTCCGCTAAGAACAGGAAACTGAGGCTACAATTTGCACAGGCTAATCAAAACTACACAATAGAAGATTGGAAAAAGGTTGCCTGGTCTCATTATTCTTGGTTTCTCTTGTGACATTCATATGGTAGTCAGAATGTGGTGTCAACAACATAAAAGCATGGATCAATCCTGCATTATATCAACCATTCAGGGTGATGGTGTAACCGTGTTGGGGACATTTTCTCGGCACACTTTTGACCCATTAGTACCAATTGAGCATCATGTCAACGTCACAGCCTACCTGAGTATTGTTGCTGACCATGTCTATCCGTTTATATGACCACAGTACCCATCTTCTGATGACTACATCCAGCAGGATAGCGCACCATGTCATAAAGCGCATCTCAGACTGGTTTCTTGAAAATGACAATGAGTTCACCGTACTCAAATGGTCTCCACAGTCACTAGTACTAGTGTACTAGTAAGGTCTACCTAATAAAGTGGCCGGTGAGTGTATATGTGTATAATTTTTTTCCTTGATTGTTATATCACTTACAGTATAAAGTAACTGAAATAAAGACTGTGGGGATGGATGGACAGACAATAAATGAATAAATAGATGGTCCGTACTACCCAAATGCACTTAAAAGTTTGGTCAATTCAAATTTCCAAGTTGTCTCCTAATACAATTTCACATTTTAAGGCAGCACAAACACTGCTGAAACAACACATTATTTTTACTTTCTAATACAGTGATGAAGGCTGTTTCTTAATATGCGTTCCTCAGCATTCTTGCATCCCCGTGTATTGTCATCATCAACTTCCAAAGTTCAGTTAAAACTCAAGACCGCAAGAAAGGAGGACACATGAAAGGCTGTTTCTCAACATGCATTCTTCAGCGATCTTGCGTCCTCTTGTAACATCATCATCAGCTGCCAAAATTCAGTTCTAATACAGAAGACCGCAAGAACGGAGGAGGCATGAAACTTTTAGGATGTGTTCTTAATACCGAGGACGCACCGATGCAGACTTAAGCACTGAACTCACTCTAGAAGTCCCAGAAGTCATTGCGACTGGTGGTGGGGAGTGCAGCAAGTTCAGTTCAGTGCTCAAGTCTGCATCGGTGCGTCCTCGATATCAAGAAAAAGTTCAGAGATATAATTTATTTACCTCAGGAGTTTCCCTAAATGAAACGGTAAAAGTAAACCTCACCATGAAAATCTTAATAAAGGAATAAACACATCAAGGGTGGTTATTTGCTGAAATTCGTATTAAAATCTGTTTATTTAAATTGTGCAATGAATATTTATAATGTCTTTATGCATAGAATATATTTTGAAAAGGAAATAACAATAAATTGTTGTATGAATGCTGTCATTTAAAAAAAAAATGTTTCTTTAAAAATGCATAAAGGTCATGTGACCATCAGGAAAAACGCAGCATCTCATTTCTCATAGAACGCGTTCTCTGTTCTTGCAGTCTTTCGAGTTCATTCTTCCGAGGAGACCTGGCAAGACCGGTCTTCACACGAATGCATGTTCTTTCTCTATGTTCTTGAAATTGAGAAACAGCCAAAGTTTCTGGATGTATTGATATCGAGGATGCGTGGATGCAGACTTGAGCGCAAAATTTGCTCGAAGTCCCAGAAGTCATAGCGACTGAGGTCGAAAGTGCAACATTTTATATGGATTTATTATTATTGTTCAGAGTCATTACTTATTTGTCTCAGGAGTTTATCTAAATGTGAAGGTTAGAGTAAACATTAACGTGAAAGTCTTTATAAAGGCATAAGCACATTAAGGTGTATTTGCTGAAATTTGTATTAATATTAGTTTTATTTATGCATAGTATATATTGTGAGTTCGTTTTTTGAGGTAACTTGGCAAGAACAGTCTCCACAAGAACACAAGTTCGTTCTCAGTGTTCTTGGAATTCAGAAACAGCCAATTACTGCATCTGTTCTTGTTGGCTAAACCTGTCAATATAGCGTGTGTTTGTGAGAGAATTACCCAATATACAGAATGAATCAATCAATCATTTGAGTCAGATCCTATCAGAGAATCGGCTAATCCAGTGAGTGTTTTGTTTATGAATCAAAACTGATTGTGTTCCAGTTTTTCCTCATTGAAGATGTGCAGTAATAGACTGATGGACTATTGTCAATGAACACTAATGTGGCTTGTGGTCTAATAGGTCACTTTAAAGATTGCTAATGTTCCAATTGCAAATCTTCCAAAGCTCCAGCTGCCAGTACCGTTCGCTCCACAAAAAAACGGCTACACTTTTTCTAAATTCCCCTTCTTTTGTACTATAAAAAAGGTGAAATCATATAGATTTGGAGCCATATGTCGGCAAGTATCATGTTTGCACAAGAGTGATCAAATGTTGTTCTGATGAGCATATGGTGCACTTCAGTCCCTCTCCAAACATGCAGATACGTCTTCCCAGAAAAGTCGTGACCTTAGTGCACTCGCCGCGAGGGTTCACATCACCCATAAAGCACAGCATTCCGTTCATGCGTGCAACCGAGTCTCAGATGTGTCCTAATGCTTAGTTAGCCAGTGACGCTCAATTCCTGCAATCTGAGCTCTAAATCTGCTGGCGGAGGTCAACAGACTCCCTCTGAGAGACCAGGGGACAATTGATATCATTCTTCAACTGATTTAAATACCAACAAATAACCTTGGAATTGAATTTTGCGTATGGGAATATAAAAGGCAGCTTGGGTCAGATGATCGTAAACAAAAAGAGGGCTGCTCAAATCAAATGAAGTCTCTTTAAACTGTGCCTGTCACTTTTTGTTTTTATTTGTGCTCAGTCTACAAATCTCTCTTTGTATTAGCATAACCTATTTTAGTGTCTTTCTTTATTCACGGTGACATTTAATCTCCCTGTTATGTTCAAGACCTGTTCCCTTCAGCTAGTTCGTGGCCTTTTTAATAGCACAGTAGCAGGTCTGTGCCTTTATATGGGAGTGCAGTGAGTTTAAATTTATTTAGCTTATTCTTTACCGTCATGGCAGATCTAGGGCGGTTCCACTAAACAGAATATGGGTTCTCAGCTAAATGGACCATAAGATTTTTTGTTTTCCTTTGCAGAGCATATCCGCAAACAAAGCAGCAGTTTGGTTTAACTTGGGAACAGTGTTTTGAGAAAATACAGGGTGGTGTGGAAATATTCCCCATCTGCTCATACTGTACTGCAGTCTTTCTGCATATTCCTCACATAAAGTCTATTATAAGAAAGTCCACATTAAATTGAAGAAAACAGTGAAATTCTGCACTGATGTGAACACATTGCTTGTCTTGATCACTTTCCTGTTTTTGTAAAGAGAGTATTCCTGGAAATCCATGTAAACAGCATTGTCTTTGTGGAAAATGTGAATTTCAGAATTTCCCATGAATGAATGGAAAATCTGTGCTTAAGATAAACAACATGTGCAGTCGCACATAATGATGGATGGCTGTTAACAGTTTGAATATAAAGAAATGTTCTGTGGTTCTAACTCTCAGGCTTAGTTTTCTTTTCTTTTCTTGTTTTTTTTTTAGAAGTAAACAGGGGATATAATGATATACTACCAGTTACTGTATCATTTCAGAATTGTTTTAAGATTCCGCACAACTTCTCTAAGTCTGCTAGTCTGATGTTTTATTTATTCAAAATATTTTAGCATGGACAGGTAATGGACATCTTGTGTGAATGTGTTGGACCAGAGAAGTGGCAGTGGACTGGCTTTTAGCTTCAGCCTCCATCTTAAAAGATCTCTAAGTACTGACTATACCACTTTTTACT